ATTCTTATATTTGAAAATTATCTAATTCTCTAGTTCGATAACTTTTAATTCTTGTATTTGGAAATTATTTAATTTTTGATTCAGGAGATATCCAATAGCTACATTTGAAAATTATTGATTTCTCGTCTTTGGAAAATAGGATTTAATTCTAGTGTTTATTTTGAAATCCATTTATTTCTTCCATTTTACTGATCCCGCGTTTTAATTATTGATCCTTTGTGTTCCTTTAAAAAGATGTCTTTGCTCTTCCAGAGAATATTTTTCCCTTCTTTTCCCCTTTGTTGTTCCTCGTCTGTGAAATTACTTATTTAGAAAGAAAGAAAAATAGCGTTTACGTAGAATTTACAATTTTAAGAACATTGTTTCAGACTAGCATTCGCTAATTTTCACGATTCACTAGAAAGGGAAAGAAAATTCACCGAGTGAGCTTAGAATGAGAATAGTGATACTGTTAATTTAATTTCACTGAACTTTACCTACAGCAGTACTTTCTAGAGAAAATAACGACAGGAGTATGCTACTTTCCGACCTACTTTCGCTACTTTACATGCTTTTTCGAGCACAAAATCTTTTTTAGCAGCAGTTCTTCTATGCGAATTCTTCAGAACGTCGCATGCCTTTTTTAAAATTAATTTTTAAAGCATCGTATTAGACACAAAGAACGAAAGTATGCCAGTAATTTAATTACCCAACCTCCTCTTTATTCACTTCAAACAAACCAGTATAATAAGTAAATAATAAAAAGAACTAGAGGATTTTTAAATGTTATTCATCTTCAAATCATTTTCGACGGTTAATTAAAAGAAAGGAAAAAGAAAAAAATCCTTTCGCTAATTTGAAAATTTCCAGTAAATGGAATTGATCAGTAGCGTCTAATCGACGTTACCAAGATTAACACTTTGGTCTTTAAAAAATGAATTAAAATATAACACAAAACAAAAAGAAAAGACTCTTATAACAATTACAAAATTTTCAAAAAGCAGAGTCGGCCATTCTATCTTCTAAGTGGCTCAATTAATACCTTCAATCTCGATGAATCGATAGAATCCCCAAGGAGCAATGGAAGTTGAAAGAGAAAGGGTCTTCGTTCCTCCAAACAAATTCATATTTCACGGTGGAAGGTTTTCAGGCTGTATACGTGTATTATGGTCGTTCGGTGAGGGAGCAGGTCAGATAAAAGTGAAATACGCGGGTTTACTATTGAAACACGGCAGCCGTGTCTCGCGATAAAGATAAACGAGCAGAGAAACCGTGGCGAGGGATCTTGGCTCGTTCGTCATTCGACGTCCTCCTTTGTCTCGTCTCATTACAATAGATCAGCTTTGACGATTCCTTATCCCATTTGAATCCACTTCCTCGGATGAACGATAAATTCCACCGAGTATCTTGTTTTTCGCCACGAGATTCTCGCCTCTTTCTCTTTGAACGCGCTAGAAACGCCTTCTAGAAGATTACTTTGAGGTGGTTGCAGCATTTCGTGAGTAAACAACGTCTTTCTTCCAATTGCTACGTGGGATTGGAAAAGATAGAATTAGTTTAAGTCCATTTTCTTTGAGAAATCTTAACGTTCGTTTGGGGTAGATATATCATTTTTTTTAGATTTCAAGTAACATTGTCGAATGTAAATTGTAATTTCAAGTAGTCATAGTTCATAGTTCGTATAGGTACGTACTATTAAGTTAAAAATGACCTCAACTTATAAATAAAGTGCATCTAATTAAAGTAACATCTCCAAATCTAAATTTTAATTTTAACAAATTTTATTTCAAATGTATTACAATATTAATTTTAATATGAAGAATTTTTCAATGTACAATTATATTTCTAAATGAAAAATAATCTAATTTTATAAATAATCTGAAATGCAGTTAAACTGGTATTCTATCTCTCGCAAATTCTGACGTATATAATTAGAATATCAATATTAATTAATAATAGACATATAAGGATCGCTATCGCTCGAGAAAAACGATTCTATCGATGTTTCCTATATGGATTAATGACAAACGTTCAGGGATAAAAAGGGGCAATTTTGTTGTAAGATTTTTGCACAAAAACTCGGCCCAATAGATGAAGGAGGCGGGTCGACGATGGAGATTCAATTTTGTACGGACGATGATTTATTTTCGTCTTACGAGGATTTATCTTCCGGAAGCTCGTTGTATTTTACAACGTCATCTTCCATTAGGTTCGCAATCTGCAGGATCCCGGGTTGCCGGGATTAAACTGGTCGAATCTAATCGCGTCTCCGAAACCTGCATCAATCACTCGCAACAAGTTGTCACGCGTAGCTGCATCATTAAAAACATGAGACAATTAAAAATGAAAACACGACCGTTTAATTTAACATCATCCTAAATCTTAAATTTCGTAGGATCTTCGATTTATCTTAAAAATTTTCTCTTTGATTTTAGATTGATTCTTTAACAGAAGCTGTCGTTCTCCATATAGTCCAGTCGAATTAAACATGAAACTTATCATTTCATAAAAAATATTTTAATAGGTATTCTATCATTTAATACGGTCTTAATTATGATCGAAAAACCTAAAACTAAATCTCTGATAAATAAAGAAGGAACCTGACTTTTACAATGATGAAGCACTTTTTAGAATGTTTTGTGCCTAATATCTAATTCTGCTGGACAGTCGGACAAGCTAACCCATCTGACTCGCAGTACATTAACATCTCATCAAATTCACCAAGGCCATCGAGCCAGTCCAGTGGCAGACACCTATAAAGCGATTATCTCTCCTCATTCACGTGCGCCAATCGTCCGGTCCTAGAAACCGTCCTAGATCCGTTCGGAATTATCGAGGAAGCTTCAGAATGTCTGAAATCATCGGTACGATCCCACTCTACGAACCAGACGAGAAGAACGGAATCATACAACACGGTCAGGGAATGCAGAGTCGATGTGTGTGCATGCGTCGAAGACAATCACGGCGAAACCCTTTGGGCCAATATTGACGCAGCCTGCTATCGCAATAATGGACAGACGCGTAGGGATAACGCGATGCCGCGCGCGTATATTACGCTCGTGCCTGTGTTTGGACAGTTGCACGCGTGTGCACGCCACGAACACTCGCGCCATTGTACACCTCATAGTTGGATGCCACGCGAGTTCCGTGAATCCTAGGTTTCTCTAGCCACCCACATCATCGAATCCTAAATTCTGGGAAAGAGATCAGTACGTCGATCGTTTCAGAGTTTTCCAACAAGAAAGATGAACAAATAAATATCGTACATTTTATGTTTTACGTTTATGTACCAGCAGTACGATGCGTTTTACATTTTTTGTGAAAATTTCAGTTCACTTTTTCAAGGCAGACCTGAAAATTTTCACGTTATTTAGCTGTTCATGCCGAGTTATAAATATTGGAATCCTCCTATATCGATTCGTTTAAATTTAGTAATTAGTGCTATACTTATTTCTAGTATAACACATAGGGACACCAAAAAATATGAGATCTTCAATCCTTCGTCGAATCATCAAATAGCCAGTTCTGGATTTGGGAAAGAGAGATTGCGTGTTTTCTTTGGGCGAGAGGGATCTGCGAGATTTATCCAGCACGATAGAAGGTTTGCTGAGCAATGATCAACCCTAAAGGGTGTCTTAGGCCAGCAAATGGGATTCTCGTGTTGACGAGAACTGTCAGCCTTTTGTTCTATTCTGGGGAACTCGACGAGTTCGCGGGAAATTTGTTTGCTCGTGACATACCGGGGTGGAGTGTATGATGACTGGTTATCGATGCTATTGACAACTACTATAGGGATGATGTAGCAGTGTGAATTTCTGATTATGAGTCTTTGTTTTGAGTTTTGTGGATCGAGGACTGGAATAAATATTGAGTATCGCAAACATCTATACAGATAGCGTACACTTCTATGTTCAGTCTCATAAAGTATTTAGGTATATTCCTACATAAAACTCCATTCTTCTAAAATTATTCAAACGCCTTAACTCGTTAATCAATCCCAGATATCCAAAAAAGAACAACAAACTCGTTCTATAAATCTTTACAGATAAATCTGTATATAAACTTCACTTCAATCTTTCCATTAATTACTTCGTATATTTATCTTTACTTAAATGAAACTTTGGTTCAGTTCACTCGTCGCAATAAATCACATAATGTCGAAAATTCGAAGTCGTATTATAATTAATAGACAGAACAGATTTCATGATAGATGTTTTTAGCACTTATCGTCCTAAATTTAATCAGTCTTTCTATTCCCTCTAACACCAAGTCTATAAAAATGCAGGTGCTGAAAATGCATAGCGCTTAAGCCATGAATGTTACAAATGTTACAAACTCAACACAAACGCCCTTTCGCATTAAAAGCTTTCACTTCTATCGCTTCCATCATTTACTCCATCCCAACTTCAAGATTATAAAATCCAGTCCCAAAAGTGCATCCGACAAAAATCCCGTTTCAAACAACTTTTCTCCGGTCGGAGCAACCGGGCCGATCAAAGTCGTTTCGATCGGCGTATCGCCGTGGCCGTTAAAAGCGTCATGTAAAAAACGCAGAGTCCGGAATCGAGAACGTCACGGGTGGTGCATGCGGACCTGCAGTCCCTCATAACGTATGCAGTGCAGCACTTTATGCGCCAGGTGCCGGTAGTTATATCGTACGTGTCTGCCTTCTCTCTCTCTTTCGTCCAGCCATTCCTCCGGTATACATCTCTTCGCACGTATATACAACAGGAGCGGTCCTTACTAGCGCGTTTTCTTTCCACGGAACGAACGTTGTTAGACGTTGTCCCCGTCCCCGTTCACCCGCCAAAAATAAACGTCCCGAAGCTGGGGAACAGGTGCGAATCTTCCGAGACACGCTCGGAATACACGGAGGATTTTTAACGAGGAACGCGTGTTGCTTGTCCGTCCAATGAAATATTAGGAATACTGGAAATAGCAAAGAGTTTTACGCGTTCATTTCACTTGGTCTACCTTGTGGAAAGGGGGAAATCGATAAATATTCATCGTTCCGTGTCGAACGGCTCTCTTTCGTCGTTCGATGACGAAGTATGGACGCTGTTCCACCGGAGACGCGGTGCAAGGTGAGTTTTTGCGAGTTATTTATCGTCCGGTTTGAGAACGTCGTCGTCGCTGCATGTAGAGGACGTCTATAAGGTGGGGAAGTTATCAGAGTATTGCGGAACGGTAGGCGAAAAATGTTTGAGAATGCAGAAGCTCTTTCGTTGACAATGGACTGAGCCTCTTTTGAAAGCTGTCGTGAGTTTCAAATAGTTTTGTATGACATAGAAGGAACGTAATTTGCTATTTTAAAATACTGCGTATTCATCCTTTCAGGCAAACACCATTGTAGTTAATATACTTTTGCGCGCATAACATTAGTGAATGTGTACTTTAGATATGTTAGAGTTATTTATTATCAGGTTAATGACTTAAAATGTTCATTCGATGACTATCCACAATAATAAAATGGTCTTGAACGTCAATGATACAGTCTCGAACACCGTTGACTCTCAAATTATCTTAAGTTATCCACAAATTTTCTCTATTATATATATAACCATGTACAATCGTGTACATTGAAAATTCAAGAGAAAACATAGTTGACGAAACTATATCCGCAATTTATAAGAATTTATACTACTTATAGACCTATTTTTTCTTTTAATTCTTTCGCTCAAAAAGTTTATATTTTTAACTAAAATTTTCGCAATATGATAACTAGACATTTATCTCCTTTTTTTTAAATTTACTCGAGAAAATTTGTATTTGTAGGTAAAACTGTCATTTTTACTTAAATTCACGAAGAAAATTTATATTTTCAAAAGAAATTGTAGCAAATGATCACTATGTACCACAATATGTAATACACTCTTAATGATAATTAGTTAAAAGGAAGAAAAATCGCTTAAAACGTGGTACACTTCACGGTACCCCAATCAATCACTGTTACTCGACGCGGAGTATAATTGAACCACAGGGTACAATTGAGACTCGATGATTCAAGGTGCCACTGAACTAATTAACTCCGCCAGTTAACACACTGGCTAACAACATCGATCAATACGACCGTATATCTCAACATGTTAACAGAATTAACGCGGTATATTATTAACAAACATAGTAACTGTAGACAATGCCAATTAATATTAAAGCCGACACATTATGACTGTGCTTAAACTTCGTGTGCTCGAGACAAAAACCATTTAACATCGTCCTATATAATAGCCTAGGAAAGTTATTACTCCTTCCAGTTAGTAGGAGCTCCATAAACTCGACCATCGATCAATTTTTAGATGAAACATTGTTCCAGGTAGACTAACATAAAGTAGCCAACCTTCGTAATTTTCGTCGAATACTAATCACTGAAGTTAGAGGCCGCAGGTCTTAGCATGTCGCTCTTACGAGAGAGGCTTTAATTGTTGGTTTTAAAACTGATAGCCAATTAGTGGCCGCAGTGGCACCCATTAATGCTACCTTGTTCAAAATGAGCTTCGTTTATAGATTGAACGATGGTTCGAAGCTTTTGAAACTGTCTTCCGAAATTGACTTGGGTTTACGAGCAGTGAAATCCATCGAAGGAAATTCGAATACTGTATAAGTGTTGCAATATTTTTTTTCATCCATTGCATGCACACAAATTTTTATACGCAGCCTTTTTGTCCTTCTGAAGTGTAAATATATTTCTGTCTTTTTTAATGTAATATATATTCTGTCCCTTCTTTTTTACCAAAAATTTGGTAAAAAATAATCAGAATATACATATATCTTAATATGAAATAAATTAGTGGAGATGGTAGTAAGTGACTAAAAGTGATAAAAGGACTAATTGTGAATGTAATTAATAAAATTATTTTTGTATACGAAAGTACCAAACGAGAAAGAGAAACAGATCAGGAAGTTTTCAGTCTCATATTCAAACGCTATGCTTTTCCCCTTTTTCTGTCTTTTTACTATGCACTTGAACTTCAATGAAGATTTATTTCAATTATAAATAAATAATAGATATACATACGCATAACATAAAAAATAAAAATAAAATAAAGTAGCTTTAGATGTGTTAAATCCCTCGTAGATAATCTCCCCGCTTCTATATTTTTCTATTTTTAAACACAACAGAGAAAGCTATGAAGGAGCGACATTTTCCATTTCATCGTAGATTCCTCTCGGTTTCAAATCCTTTGAAATCGCTCAGATGATCCCGTATCATCCGTGATAGTTTCGAAACGCGGCACCCGATAAATTTCTCAACCGAATTTACCGAGAACCTGGAAATTTTCGACGCTCGCGGCGACTTTCAAAGGGTCGCGTATTGGCAAACGTTATTTCCGCCTAAGGGTGGATCATTAAGCAACATTCTCCGGCTGCGTACGGAATAAAATCTTGCGGAGCCCCATGCAACAGGTGAGCCCTGCGATATTTCACGTTTCGGAAGTAATCTCGCGTTTTAGCGCGCGATCGCGCCGCCGTAAAGCGCGAGACAATGGCGTTGAAATTAGAACTGGAAGGCCACCGATGAAAGCGTCCCCCAACACAGACGATTAATCAACTTTTCCGCTTTACTTCCTTTCATTTTCTGGGAAAATACGCTAGAAGATAAAATAGGTTGCGGAACTAAACAGTTTATTACGCAAATATATTTTTAATTGACTGTACAGTATCGTTTTAAGACTTTTTAACGACGCAATGTAGCAATGATAAAGAGATGGTGTACGACACGGAGGCGAAAAATTTTTAATGAAATGGAGAATAGTATAATTCTATAGTTTTACTTCTGAGTTTAAAAATATGAAAATATAGGAATAAAGAAATGATGTACGGCCAATATACCAGATAGATACGTATTTCTATTATATACGAATGATCTATGATCACGACGATTATGCAATGACGATCGTCACTTTTCAACATCTTTTGTAGATTGTACTTCGTGATAGTGCTCTAGTTACCTAACAATACCGCGTTTGTTATTATTACTTGATATGATTCTGCGATTATGATACGAGTAAATATCTCAGTGACGGTTCAGTTTAATGATTTCGTAATTTTTTTTCGCAAGATAAATTATTATCTGTTATATAGATCATTTATGTATATTTATAGCTGGTCTTCGACATCAATTAGTTGATACTAAAGAATAATTTAAATTTCCAATCTTAGACAGGATATTGTAGAAAAAAATATGCAGAGATGAGTTTATTCAGATAATATACGTACATCGATTTAATTAATTGTTTGATGACGGAAGCGTGTCTAATTTGCATGTTAATAGAATGAAGACACATCTCCGTGTACCTTTTAATGATCTATCATTTTCAACATGCAGATACGAAACGTGAGCCGGATAAATATCTTGCATTATCGTTGCAAAAACCGCGGCTTCGTCTGAGAGACTTGATTTACGACTGCATATTAGATAAACTTATTTTTCTTTAGTTTTTCGCATGCTAAGAACTTACTGATACTCGCGCATCATTAATCTTTTATGAAAACAGCTCATAAAATTATCTTTATTTGCTGTATATAGTATAAAGAAACAAGCTTCACGATACTGCTTTTATAATATCACAGAATCCGATCATTTCTTTGGTGTTTAACATCCTCTTTTCATACAAATTTATCCACCAGCTACTTTCTTTGCCTTATATAGCATTAATTTAAACGATATTCCATTGTGTTAGTATAAAATTAGTAGAATTAATATATCAGACGTATTTAAGAATATTTTTCAGCAGAAACGTACGTTAAATAAAGCCCTACAATCCTTATAAATACATAGCTCTGCGTTGCGATACATCTGCGAAACTCCAAAAATGAGATCAATTTCCAACACCAAGAAACAAAACTCAGAATATCGGTCTAAACTTCTTGGCCAAAAGTGATCGCCGCCAGTGCTGCCAACCTGCGCAGCCGGTCGACCATCACCGTAGAAATCTCATTTCAATCGATTCCGTTGCTTCGAGCAGGTCGTCGATGCAACGATAATACACCTTGGTCCCCTCCTCGTCCACCGGTCATTACGTTTCTTCTGCACCGGCTCTCTATTAAATGTCGGGCATAAAATTGTAGGTTATGGCCAAACCATTACTCAGCTAGCTTGCGTCGAACAGAGAAAGAGAATGCACGCGAGAGCTAAAAAGGAGGAAAGACGAGGGTCCTGGCGGTCGGATCGCTGAATGAAATGAGTTTCGGCCGCATTAAGGTCGTGCAAGTACCAATCCCGTTCTTCCAGTTCCAGGCCAGGTCCGGTCGCGAGTGTCTGCGTGTACGCACACCGAACAGGCCGAACAAAATCGGTCCTGGCTGGTTATAAATTGCCAACGGCGCACGGCCATTCAGCAAAACGCTCAAGGTCCACAGAGTCCTTGGTCAGAGCCGGTGGCATCGCGATGCCAGGCCGCAGACCGCGCAGCGCCAATTAGAGGCGAGTTGCACCGCTCGTTGATGACAATTAGGGGGATAAATTGGAACGATTGATTATGCGTCTCTAAGCCGTGTTCTCGAATAACGATTAGAGATTCCTCGCCGCCTGGTCTTAGTTGGTTTAGTAATCTAGCAGTGATTAATGAACTGTGCATACTTATGCAAATAAAAATATTTTTATAAATACAATCGAAGAAACAGAAGCTAAGGAAAAATTCACATTTCCTACTAAATATTATTACGAATACTCCGTTTTTCATAATTTATATGCTTTTGTATGTTACACGCATTTTATGTACTTCCTCATATTCAAGATTCCCCATAAATACGTAAAAATCCACAGTCTAGTAATTGGAGATTCTTTGTTGCTTTTACGGTTAATCTACTCTTGAGACCGTTTTCCGCTATAATATATATAAATAATAATCGGTTTGTTTAATTGAACTTAAGGTTGGTATAAAAGCGTTTATTCTTCTTCAAATTTGTAATTTTGCTTCTATTTCCAGCGTACAGAAGTCATATTATAGATCAATGACATTATTAGATATCCGTATCTTGTATTTTATATCAGATTAGTAAATACAAATCAGTTCTGTTTCGAAATATTGATAACGGTAAAAATAGAAACCCAATATTGTTAAATATGGTACAACAAAGTGTTTCATAAATGTGTTTCATAAGTGTTTCATTCATAAAAAATACCAAACTCACTCGAAAACTCACATGAAAAAATAACTGAAAGCTACTAAAAGAAGTCTCTTCAAATTTCCAAAAATCCGACGATGATGAAATTGCACATTTCGCAGATATCATCGAAATTCCATATGCCCGGCAAACTGGGTTTATGAGCCATCACCCGATACCAATCGAACACGTCGGTCCGCAACAACCACCCTGTTCCAAAAGTACCATAAAATTGGCGAACATTTAACGTCAGCATTTCCCCTCTAACCGCTAACTCGTACTCGCGGCAACACTTTTCGACCGGACAGAGCCGCATCGACACAGAGTTAACATCCATAATTAACAACAAGAATTCGATTTGGTGGTGGTGGATGGGGAAAGGGTCGGAGGTCGGACAAAAGCTCGGTCCCAATGTGAATTACAACGTCTCGAAGGTAGCCGCAACG